TGTTGTAAGTGGGGAGGGGAGGGGGTAAAAAATTAAGGGGGGGGGGGGGGGGGGGTTAACAAAACTAGAGCATACAAAATCTGGAGCAGCTGTCCATGGCAACCAATCAGCATATCTTTAATTTTCAAATCTTAACTGAACTGGAGGAACTGATTGGTTGCCATTGGCAACTGCTCCAGATTTTGTCTGCTCCAGTTTCGATAAATTCCTCCCATTATGTTCAAGATGACTGACCATATAAACGGGGATAACATGACTTCATGGCACCATCTAGACTCTATAGGAAACCTTTCATTTGATGGCACCAAATGATTGTTACACCGTGAATACAGAAGTGGATTTTATGGTAGCCAGCAAAGCCTTTGTTCTGGATGCTTTTATTCATTTATATGTACGTCTCTGCTTTGTTATGGCCTGGAATAAAGACTGACCCATTATAAAGCATTCTGTTTGTCTTGTCCTGTACTGTAGGGAGTTGTAGTGACTTACGAATATGTGATGGCATCTAACTTGGCTGCCGCAGCAAGAGGGAAGAGAGAAAAGGTAACAGGTGTCACAGTGACGTCATCCAAGCTGTCCATGGACCATTTTAAATCCAAGATGTGGAACTATTATACAAAGCTGGGAGATACCTGCGTTGAATGCAAAGTGTGTAAGAAGCAGTTTTCCTTCCACAATAGCACTATGGGTATGAGAGAGCATTTGCATACTGTGCACAGTTCTGGCATCCCTCAAATTAGGGAACATTCTGAACTGGACATTCCTGAACGGGAGGGGGCAGTCAAGAGACTGAAGCAAACACTGCCCTCAAATAGCATTTGTACTTCTATATCAGAACCCCAGACACAAGCAATTGCTAACCTGATATTAGAGATGATCTGCAGCGACCTCCATTCCCTTTCAGTGGTTGAAGAGAAGGGTTTTGCACGTCTAGTTACTTTCTTGGATCCAAACCTTGAGCTTCCGACTCCAATGCATCTAGCTGGTATGTTATGGCACGAATATAATGTAATGAAACAGCAGCTCAAATGTTGTCTTCAGGCTGCCCCGTCCATTGTCCTATCGATTCAGAATTGGACTGACAATTCTAAAAGGTCCTACCTCTCTGTTACAGCAAATGTTATTGACAGTAATTGGAGATTTTGTAGATACTTATTGGAGACGCACCCCGTTCACCAAGGCAAGACGGAGGATGATGACGACCTGGGAAAGCACTTACACTCTGTGCTGGTGGAGTTTGGCCTGTCTAGTAACCTAGTGTCCTGTGTGGTTCATGATAATTCACCTATGCTGTCCTCTTATTTCAAATCTTTCAAAGATACATGTGGGTGGGCCTGCCTCTGCTGCACTGCCCACATCTTACAGGGCTGTATAAAAGCAGGGCTGGAGGTTGAAGAAATGCGAGAAGCTCTGACTGCCGTTAGAGACTTGGTGAGTTACTTCCAAGAGGACTTCAAAGCCAGTTGCTTTCTAAATTCCAAACTGGAAGCTATGAACAAGCCCAGGCTGGTGCTAGATACAGAGACGTGTTGGGTCTCTACGCTGGAAATGTGTCAGAACTTGCTGGACCTCAAGTGGGCCATCCTTTCTATCCTAGAAGAACATAAGGTAGATAACTTGTCTGAGCAGCACTGGAAGTTGCTTCAGGATTTGGTGCCAATGCTGAAGACCATATGGATTGCAACATTGTTCCTGCAAGAAGAACAAAATGCTTCTATCTCCTCACTGATGCCCTGTCTCTTTGCTATATTCAATTCTGTTGGGCAAAGCTGTGAAGCCAACGGTGCCATTAAAGCTGCTGCAAATCAAATACAAGCTGAGATCTGTAGACACTGGGACATGTTAGATGAAGGAAAATTAATTGGCAATCCGGCAGTCATTGCTTCGTTTCTGGATCCTCGTTTTAAAGAGCTCAGATTTCTTAAACCATGGGCAAGAGGAGACCTACACGAAAGGGTCAAGAATATGCTTTTGGAGCCATGTGTTACCAACCTGCAGTGGTCTCTGACCTGTGTAACTAAAGGCAGCATCGACACTCTCAGTCCTCCTGTCCAAGATGGCACCCCAATTGGACTTGAAAGCATTTATGACCTTCTTCTGGGGAGAGATCCAACAGCTTACTTACCTGAAGCCCATCACCAGCTGGAAAATTATATAGTGGAGCCTGTCTGTAAACGTACAACTCACCCTCTCCAGTGGTGGAACAGTAATCATCAGAGATATCCAGCATTGGCCCGATTAGCTCGCCAGTATCTTGCCATACCTGCCACTGCTGTGAAACCTGAAACCGCCTTTGGCATGCTACAAGACCCATTACAAATACGAAAGGCTGCTCTGGAGCCAAAACATATGGCTCCCATTCTGTTCTTGCACCAGAATAAAGACTTTCTAGAGTGGAATCTGAAAGCAGAGTAACTGATATTGGGTTGAGGTTGAAACTCTGGGATCAAGACTCAAGCAAATTATGTAGCAAGTATGGGGGGGCCTTTTGATATCTGATATCTGTGGCACCAACCCATTTTACATGGAGCCGAACTTTCACTTGGAGATGTGGCCCTCACTACATGGCATCGAGTTTAGGAGCCATGTTGTTGGAGACCTCAGACTGATTTGTTTTCACCCAACTGTACAAAACAGGCAGGATGAAGCACTTGAACCCCTTTTTTTTTTTCTCATTGGTTCAAATATACACATGTAAGTTTTAAAATACACTGATGGACAGTTGCCTGAAATATTTTAGGTAGTGAAACAAACTTATAATACAATAGAACGGCACAGTACAGCACATATGGCACCCTGTGACTGAGCAACACTTAATTATTTCTCTCCCACATGTGAGCTGTTTAACATGTAGGAGGGTACACCCGAATATTTGTTTGTATATAGCTGTAGTTTCTAGTGTGTTTTAAAGAAGAGATACTAATAGCACTTTAATATGAGAATTTGAACACTGCTTGGCGTTTTTGTAATAAAAAAAGAAAAACAAAAAAAAATTATGATTGCAGACTTCATTTTAGGATAAGGAACTAAATTAAACTTTGTTCCTAAGAATTCTCTGTTTGTTGAGCTTGATAGAATTGTAACCTTTGAACGTTTAACATACCAGCAAAGGGGGTGGGACAAACAGTTTTCTTTAATCTGGTCCCAATGGTTAAATTATCGAGCTACCTGTTTGGGCATCAGTTAATATTGCATCTTTGCCCCAGTTTTTATGGCTTCTTTTTACTTATACATTACTAACATTACTACTAACAGACCCAGTTTTCTATCGTGATTTTGTGATGTGTGATGTGAACTATAGGCAACTTTTGTGCAGATTTCTTTGTACCCGATTTAGTAAATATGCGATGTGGCCGTATCTTTTGTTCTTTGTAGTTTATTTGTTGCCATTTTGTCTCTGTTATTGTTTGTTTCTTGTTTTACATGACAATTTTTTTTCAATAAAATATGATCTGATTTAAGAAAAAAAAAAATTATCTTCACTAAAGGACAACTTCACTTTTTGTCAAGTTGTCCTTTTTTTTTTTTTTTTTAATATTCCTTCCACTCCCCCTTAGTGTAGCCCACCAATACTTGCCACTATATGTTTTTGTGTTCCCATTCACACAGCACATCAAAAAAAGTATATATTTTTTCATCTTGCCTTCTTAGATGCTTCTTTGCTGAAGGCCTTTGTGCAGAATCCAGGCTAGTCTGAGCAGTTTGAGAGTGAGACTAGTGTAATGTCAGACAGCGCTTCCTCTCAATTACACACAATGCCCCAAAGGCATTAGGACAGACATTGTTCAGATCTAGTTTACAACTGATAATGAAATCTGCCAGTACAGACAGGGTTAATTACAGAAAACAAATCTTTGCACAACCCCCTCCTTAACATTACATAGGAGGGAGGCTAGGTAGGATTTTTTAATAAAGTATAAAGCACTAAAAAAAAAATTAAAGTGACATTAAACCGCCAGATGTTTTAACATAAAACAATACTGTAATGTGTGCCTTACTGTAATCCATGGTCGTTTCCCTTCTCTTTGCTGCTCTTCCTTTTAAATCCTTCTGTCTTCTCATGCTGGGGAGAACTTCTGTTTTGCAGCAGACTGCCTTGTCTCTGGGAAGGATACATGGTGTCTGTGTGTAGTTTTGCAACCTGAGCCAGCACTACAGGAAGAGGCACTCAGCTGCAAAGGGAAGTTCTCCCCAAGCATGAGAAGACATGAGGATTTAAAAGGAAGAGCAGCAAAGAGAAGGGAAACAACCATGGATTACAGTATTGGTTTATGCTAAAAAAATCTTGAGGGCTTAATGTCATTTTAAGGCATAAACATTTTTTTTTTTATGTCTTTACCAGTCAAGACACGTGCTAAAGATTTCTGCCAGTTCTATCCTGTATGTGCCCCCTTCCCAGTATATCCTAGCTGCAAAGTTCTAGACATACAGAACTCCTGCTTCCTTGATAGGAGCTCGCCCTATGTTATGTATGAGTTGTGCTGTCAATCAAGGACCATGCACAGATCTGTTTTCTTAGCATCTTAAGCCATGGACTATATTTGTGTTCTCCCTCCACAAAAAAAGGTCAACTAGTTACTTGGTTATTTCAACTAGTTTTTATTTTAAATAACACGTAAAAAACAATAGCTCAGCTGTGGATAGTTCCCCTGAAGCCAAGTTAACTGTTGCCTTCTTAAAATTCTATGCGAGTAGAGAAATCTGCCCCTTAGGCTATATAAACACAAGTAAAACGTTCAGAACCGCTTTCCCTTTTGCTGGATTCTCCATATGAATAAAACCGAACTGAGCACAGGCCATGCACCATTCCAGCAGAAGACTTCCTTGCTAGGGTTGTTAATGGCTTTTTGGTCTTTAGGCAAATATGGAGCAATGTGGCTGCTTACAATCTGCAGACATGAAGCTACACAAGTACTTTAGTAAAAAACAAAACTAGAACTGAAGGAAAGACAATAAAACCTGTTGGGAAACTGTTCACTTTAGTATAAGCCTGTGATTGGCTTTGGGACAAACCCTCATTATGGCATTGACTATGATGAGCGGGGTGCTTCCATACCTTCAAAAGGAATGTTAACTAGATTACTGGTACAATCTTAGTGCTACTTAAGCAGCTCTTCTATTCTTTTTTAAATACAAGGCCTTAGGACCTGTTCTTTTAAAGTGACCCTCCACCTAGATTTTATTTGAAAGCATGGCAGCTGTTGAGTTACACACAATGACCCGCCCCTCTTTTCCAGAGTGATTCTAGGAGGTCTATGTATAAACTGTTCGCAGGGCTGTTTCTTTACAAGGGAATGTATTTGAATTGTTTTTCATAAAATATCCCATTATGCCCGCTAGCGGGTGCCAAAGCATAAAAATACTTCTTGTGCTGCTTTAGCTCCATCTAGAGGTCATACTGCAATATTGAATACACGCAAAAGAATCTTTGTGTTGGTAGATATTTGCAAATGGGTCCTGCAAATTATTATTATTTTTTGTATATAAAGAACCCTATGTGGACTTCAAGGATGTTTCTAACTGATGACTACATTGCCAATAACTCACCTAAAGTTTCTGAATCCAATTTAGTCAAACTGCGTTTGACTCGTCTGCTGGCACACACCTTAATACAAGCAACGGGAGAGGCCACTTTGATGACTGGTAGCAAAGGGCAGATGCATGTGCTGCTCAAGTGAAGTCAAGCAAGTGATGGGCCATTTTGGTTCTAGTTGTCAAGGCCTTCAGCAGCCAACAATCAGTCTGACCTTGCAGCATGCCACAAAGGGGAAGAAACAGAGACCATTTCTACTATTTAACTAAGGGGCCATTGATGTTGAATGGTATATTTTTAAACTAAAGGCAGCAGACGGTTCCTTACAGTAATTCCAAACATTTTCCTAACTACTTTACGCAAGTCAACTCAAACTGCAGAAAATAAACTTTTTAAAATTTAGTCAAAACGTAAGGCCCCTTCCACACGTGCTGGTCAGGAGAAGATCCGTCAACAGATCCTCTTCTGATCATAGCAATACGGATCAGCGGTGACGTCCGTGTCCGTACAGTTTTTCACTACATCTTGCGATGGAGGAAAAAACTTAAAGCGCCGGACCTCGTGTATCTAGAAGCATGTGTCAGTTTACATCAGATCACCCCCAGCCCGGCATGATGTGGTCCGTCCATCGAAACGAATCAATGATCCGTCTGTTTTACCGGGTGTAAACGGACGCTTGTTCGTTTACACGCGGCTGCCCATAGAGTTGCATAGAGGGTCCGGCTGAAAAACCAAAAGGGACCTAGGAGCTGTAAAAACTAACCCTTGCAGTGGGGCTACCATGCACTGCAAGGGTAATTGCTCGTTTTGGTCTATAAAGATGTATTCACCTGATCCTCCGATAGTCAGCAACCCCTCCGTTCCAGCAGGGGAATGTCCTTTGGTGTCCTCAAGTCTATTGCAGCTGCATTAGACATGCTGACATCACCGGTCCTTGGAGGGCCGCAGTCTGGGGAAGAAGAGGCTGCAGTGACCGGTCTGTATTTTCTTTGTTTGAGCTCCTAGACCAAAATGAGCACTTAACCCTTGAGGGGCAGAGGTAGCCCGCCCCACTGCAAGGGTTTTCACAATTCCTGCAGTTCCTCTTTAACCTTTGCATTTTCTTTCAGCCTTTTTACATCCTGCATCTGTACATGTAAGCAGCTTCATATCCAAACTGTATGTTTATAACTTGGTTCCCAATGTCCAGAAGCAGATATTACAATATTTTAATAAGCAGCTGATTCTTCCTCACAAATCTTTAGCGAATGAGCCATCTTCACCTCTTGACAATGCTTTCTCATGTGAGCATTTCGGCTCTGGATCTTGTAAAATACCCTAAGAAAAAATGGGGAGTGGGGGTTATAGAACTCTTGCATTACGCTGAATAGGTTGTGAAGAACATGATGTTGTCTATATCAGCCAATTGTTTCCTTTTAAAATGGAGCATGCACACAAGATCTAAAGTTTAGCCATAGTCTATGGAGCAGCCACATAGCTGTGTATACGATTTGTAGTAAAATATATTGTACTGTACTTCTCTTATTAGCATCTCAATACCTATGGGCCTAGTCAGACTGTGCTGCATTATGCAATGAGTTGTGCATTTAGGCAGGCAATTCTTTTTTTTTACCTTCTATTGAAATGTTACAAAATTACACTTCATTCCTCTGTACTCACTGCAGCTCATTGCTGGTGCTGTGTAGTGGATTGCAACACACTGCTCTGAAACGAAGTACAGTAATACCTCGGTTCATGAACTCTTCTGTTCGCGAACAATTCGGTGCCAAGTCCTGTTTGGGATCGTGTATACTGAGTAACATCACTTGAAACACAAGGGAGAGCATAGACTAGAGCAGTTGTCAGTCTTTTACTTTGATGGATGGGATAGCAGGGGAGTAAC